ATACAAAAGGGGGGGGTTAATGTTTCTCCATGTTTTAATAAAAAGGGGGGGGGGATTTTGATTTTCCCATGTTTTAATAAAAAGGGGGGGGGAATGATCCCTTTGAAAATTTAACAAAAGGGGGGATTAAATCCCATGTTTTAAATACATAAGGGGGTTTATGATCCCCATGTATAATACAAAAGGGGGGGGGATAGGGTTCCCTTTGTAAAATTTAAAAAGGGGGGGTTATAAATTCCATGTATAATACATAAGGGGGGATATGTTTCCCCTTTGTAAAAATACAAAAGGGGGGGGGATATGATCTCCTGTATAATAAAAAGGGGGGGATTTGATCTAATTTTAAATACATAAGGGGGGGGATATGTCCCATTTTTAAATTTACAAAAGGGGGGGGTATTTTTCCTGTATAATACTTTAAGGGGGGTTTTATGACTCCTTTGTAAAATTTACTTTTAAGGGGGGGGTATGATTCCTGTATAATAAATAAGGGGGGGATGATCTCCATGTATAATACAAAAAGGGGGGATAGGACCCATGTTTTAATACATAAGGGGGGATATGATCCCCAAATGTAAAATACTAAAGGGGGGATATGTCACCATGTATATACATAAGGGGGGGGATGTGATTCCATTGTATAATAATAAGGGGGGGATATGATCTCCATGTATAATACTTAGGGGGGGGGATGTGATCTCCATGTATAATACATAAGGGGGGATATGATCTCCATGTATAATACATAAGGGGGTATGATCACGACTCTACTACATTAGTGGGTGATTATTGTATTGGAAACAGGTGAAGACTGTGCTCTGGGTTCTGTTAAAGCTCACCATCCACAATACAATTCTGATTGGTACAATCTGCTTTTAGATCCATCAATCAACTATGTTATTGCAAGGGACTGGCCTGCTTCCAGTCTACACACTCCCAGGAATGCGTTGAGTTAGGGCCTCACGGCAATGTGTTAAGTGGCAGTATGCTGCCTCCTGTTGTGGCTGATGAAAGTTCTGCATGCTCAGTAACAATGCACAGCGTTACACTATACATGACACAATGACAGGGGGGGCGGGGAGGCCTCAAAAAAAAATGAATACCCAGACAATATATTACCAGATCGGTTACAGGTTTTTTTTTTTTTAATTTGCATGAACTGGCCTTCTACTAAAGCCATAGCAGACTCTCATATCCAAACATGAAGACACGGAGCGGGAGTATTCATTTTGGCCGGAAATTTATGAAGACATTTTTTATTTTTTATAATTTTTTTTACTTATATAGTGAAAATTCAAAACATAGATGTGTTTTTCCCTCATAATTGTCGGTGATGTATTTTTTGTTTAAAAGCAACTAAAAATAAAAAACCGCAGAGATGATCGAACACCACCGGAAAGAAAATCTCTATTTGTGGGGGTAGAAGACAAAGGACATAAATTTAATTTGGGTGTTGCGTCTCATGGACCGTGCATTTGTTTGTTTAAATTAATGCCATGTTGTAACATTTGAAGATGGTTGGGGGATGGGGGGAGGATATCAAATCCTCGTGGAGGGGGAGGGGTTAATTACAATGAACATCGCATCATCAATAGAGGAAAACCCGTTGATACGCCGACCTTCCCCCCCAGCTCTCAGGAGGTGGCATCAAGTTTATACATAAAAGGGGTGGAGATAGTGGAGACATCACTGACCAAATATGGGCATGGCCCCAGGCTCCGCCCCTTTGCTGACATGGCTGGGGATTATTATTATACAGGATTTATGGCGCAACAACAGTTTGCTCAGCGCTGTACAATATACAGGGAGACAATACAGCACCAATACAGTTCAATACAAGAGGGTCAGGAGGGCCTGATCCTGGGAGCTTACACTCTAAGAGGGGGGGATTCCCAGTAAGTAAATGGGGACGGTGACATTCACTGGTTTGTCGAGGTCTGGACAGTCCCAGCACCCGCTGGCAGCCTTAGCAACCATTGATGGTATGAATGCCATGATCATACTTGATGCCTGAACAGCCAAGGAGCATTCAGCTCATCCCTATTGGTCATCCTAAACACACATCTGAATTTTATTTAGGACGGCCCATTGCTGTAAGAACCGGATATTTTTCATTCTCCTTAGATGTAGCTACCAGGGGCGGACTGACAACTCATGGGGCCCCCGGGCAATAAGAGATAATGGGGCCCCCTGTGTCTCCGGCTACACTCAAGCCAAAGCCACACCCACACAACACCCCACCTACATATTGCAGCTCGGCTGCATAGAAGGGGCAATAAAAATATTTAAAAAATAATAAAACAATGTCGTGGGGCCCCCCCCTCCATTCATACCAAGCCCTTCAGGTCTGATATGGGTTCCATGTACCCCAAACTCATTCACATAGGGGACCCCGCTGACAGCTGGAACATGAACACTGCATGGTTTTCACTACTAAAGTACCGCATGACTTGATCCAATAACTCGGGATTTTAGTTGCGTTTTTTGCTGAATTCAAACATTTTTTTTTTAAATGTTATGTGATATTCTACCACATACTTGGGGGGCGGTAAGATACCGCTTAGTGAATTGTGCCCAGTGAGCCTCTCACCGGGCCCCCCTACTGACCCCGGGCCCTCAGGCAATGCCTGAATGGTCAGCCCCCCCCTGGTAGATACCTTGTTGCAACCATTCAGCTTATATTAAACGTATTGTTTTTATTTTTGTTATTCTGTGTCATTCTCTTCATTCTCTTTCATGTAGGACTTTTGCCCATCCTATCCTCCACGGTGTCATCAGATAAAGTCTACATACCGGCTGGATCAGACATCACTGATTGTCATATGAAGTGTTCTGACTCTGGTGATATCCTGGAGCTGCACAGAGAATGTGGAGGGGAAAGAGATGGATTACTTGAGATGCCCTGTGACAATGTGGAAATGTATAGAACTACCTACAATGACTCCAGACTTCACCTGGACCCACAGAGGGGCTGCTGGAAGCTGACCCAGGCTGGGAAGGAAGACTCCTGTGTATATATTTACAGAGAAGTTTGGTTACAGAATGAGACTTTCCTCTATAGACGTCCATGTAGGTAAGAGGTCCATATACATCATGACCCTTCTCTCCACACTGCATTGTTCTCTATGGGGAAGATGCACTAATACACTCATTTATATAGAGACCAGTAACACCGGGGGACTGTCCAGTGTAGGGTTCATCTCAGAGTACTGGGTAGGGGTTGTCCCAGACATCCTGAGGGCGGGGGCCACTGTTACAAATCATGGGGCCCTATACAGCCTTACAAACAAATGGCCGCTGCCCCAGTCTATAACTGGCCTTCACAGCGAGGAGCGCATGGAAGGGCGACGCATGTCAGACAACAAAAGAGAAAAGTTCCCGGCTCAACTTACCAACCAGCCTGCAAACAAACCCAATTAACCCGACAGTACGCTGTAAAACACATGCGTAAGCTGCAGAGCCTCGTCACGGCACCCCCATGTTCTGTAGCCCCCATAGTAGAGGCACATGTATTTAACCTCCTCCCGCCCGCCCGCCATATATAAGGTAATGATGGATGGGCGGTGGTTTCTCTCATTCCGGATGATGTCATATGACGTCTTCCCACTCTAACCATGCGTGGCAATCGGTGGTGTGCTGTGTCCCTGAACACAGCGAATCACCGATTAGTGAAAAGAACCGATGACGTCAGCTCTGTCATGTGATCAGATGTGTCCAATCACAGCTGATTGCATCTAAATAAGGAAATGCCAGTTATTGGAAGTCCTCTCCTCCTGCTGACAGCTCGTGAGGAGAGGAGAGCCGGTAATCAGTTCTCTCGTTCTGGGAGGATGTCATATGATGTCCTTCCAATCTAACTGCGCATGCGCAGCTCCGGGAGCACACAGCGCGGCGATGGGCGGTGCGTTGGGTCCCTCGGACACAGCAGATCACCGATCTACAGAAAGAGTCAAAGATGGTGACTCGGTCATGTGATCAGCTGTGTCCAATCACATCTGATCACATGTAAACAGGGAAATGCTGGTTATCGGCATTTCTATCCTCACGAGCTGTCACTCTGACAGAGGAGAGGAGAGCCGGTAATCGGCATTCCACAGAGGGGACATGTACACTGATCATCAGAGCACTGATGATCAGTGTAGCCCCATCAGTGCCACCTTTCAGTGCCACATCAATGCCACACCTGACAGTGCCTACCAGTGCACATCAATGCCACATATCAGTGCCTAACTGAGCTGCCTTTCAGTGCCACCTATCAGTGCCAGTCAGTGCTTCCTATCAGTGCCAGTCAGTGCTGCCTATCAATGCCTCCTATCAGTGCCATATATACGTATGAGTACTGCCTTTCAGTGCCCATCAGTGATGCCTGTCAATGCCCATCACTGACACCTACCAGTGCTTCCTGATCAGTGCCCATCAGAGCCGCCTATCAGTGCCAATCAGAGTCGCCTATCAGTGCCCATCAGTGTATCCTACCTGTGCCCATCACTGCAGCCTCATTAGCACACATCAGTGAAGGAGAAAAATTACTTATTTACAAAATGTTATAACAGAAACTAAGAAACGTTTTGTTTTCAAAATTTTCAGTTGTTTTTGGTTTTTTTAGCAAAAAAATAAAAACCCCGAGGTGATTAAATACCACCAAAATAAAGCTCTATCTGTCACAAAAAAATGATAAAAATGTCATATGGGTACAGTGTTGCATGACCCGCGCAATTGTCATTCAAAGCATGACAGCACTGAAAGCTAGGCGGCACTGATGCACACTGATAAGCAGCACTGACTGGCACTGATAGGTGGCACTGATTGGCAGCACTGATAGGTGGCACTGATTGGCAGCACTGATAGGTGGCACTGATTGGCATTGATAGGTGGCATTGACTGGCACTGATGGGTGACACTGAACGGCAGCTCATATGGGCACTGATATGTGGCATTGATGTGCACTGGTAGGAACTGATATGTGGCACTGATGGGCACTGACAGGTGGCATGGATGAGCACTGACAGCTGGCACTGATGGACACTGACAGGTGGCACTGCTGGGGCTACACAGATCATCAGTACCCTGATGATCAATGTAGATGTCCCCTCCGAGGAATGCCGATTACCGGCTCTCCTCTCCTCTGTCAGCGTGACAACTTGTGAGGAGAGAAATGGTGATAACCGGCATTTCCCTGTTTACATGTGATCAGATGTGATTGGACACAGCTGATCACATGACCGAGCCGACATCTTCGGCTCTTTCCATGGATCGGTGATCCACTGTGTCCGAGGGACCCAGCGAACCACTGATCGCCATGCTGCGCAGTCCCGGAGCCACACATGCGTGGTGAGAATGGGAGGACGTCATATGACATCCTCCCAAAACGAGAGAACTGCCTTGTGCTGTCATTGGACTATATGATGGGTGGGAGGTGGTTAAGAACTGTCATCGCAGCACGGCTGTCAGACGGCCAGGAGCCAGCGTTGTGAGCAGAGCGGGTTTTGTTTTCTTTTTTCGGGTAGCAGTGACATCGGGCATCATGATTGACGTTGGATCTACTTCGGGGGACATTTTTTTATTTTTAATAAAGGACTTGTCATAGACTGTCTCCTGTCATTTTTACAATACACTTTTTTTGTGAATGGGTAGCGGTACCATGTACCCCATACTCGTTCACATGGGGGGGCTGGGATCTGGGGGCCCTTTGTTAAAGGGGCCTTCCTGATTCCGATAAGCCCCCCGACTGCAGACCCTCACAACCCCACCCCAGGCCATGGTTGTGGGGAAGAAGCCCTTGTCCCCATCAACATGGGGACAAGGTGCTTTGGGGGGGAGCCCCCCTGCCCCAGACCACCCCCCCCATGTTGAGGGCACGTGGCCTGCTATGGTTCAAGAGGGGGGGCGCGTGTTCATACCCCCCTTTCATGACCTTTTGGGCTGTATGCTCAACTAAGGGCCACCACGCCATTTTTTTCTTAAATTTTAGTGTGGGGGTTTCCCTCAAAATCCATACCAGACCAGAAGTGCTTGGTATGGATGGGAGGGGGGACCCCACGTTGTTTTTTTTTTTTTTTTAATGTGGCAACAATTCTTTTGACATTCAGCTGTCAGAGGGGAACCCCACTGAACCCCATTCCCTTTCAGAATTTGCCCCGTGTACGGCCGGCTTAAGTATGCTTAGCACCACATAGTGGCCAAATATGGTATTTTGTTTTAAATCAATTAAAAAACATTCGACCGACATAGGAAACGGCCTAATAACATATGGGGGGGGGGGGGGGTCGCCCCTGCTGAACTAATGTGCAGACACTTTCACTGGGCAAATCGCTCTTTCATAAATACACCCCAAGATATGCGTACTACAATAAGGATATAATCCTCCTGCGCTGCCACAAATAAATGATAATCTGCTGCAAGCCCCTCAATGTGTTCCCACATCAATAAAACATAAAATGTGCTCGTCTCACAGATCGGGGTAACCGGGTGTTTATTATAGGCTGGCCAGGTGTTTATTGCTACTTGATTTTGGTTTATTTTGATACATGTCTCACATATCATTTGGATTTAGTGGCTCGGCCAGTTTTTGTTTTTTTATTTACTATTGACTTTGTTTCACAGATTTGTTCTATGACACATTGGGTTTGATGCTCAGGGGGGTGTTTATTATTATTAGTGTAACAACCTTTTATTACCAATAATAGAACTGCAGACATTATAGCACCGTATGTGAATTTGATGCAATATCTTATTCGGCCACAAGATGCCACTAGCAACAGTTCCAGATCCAGCTCTATGATGGGCTTGGTAGAGGAAGTCGAGGAGGAGAGAGACAATTTGGTGGGGAGAGGTGAAGGTCAGTGCGGAGGGGCTTGCGAAAAGAGGGACCCGTTGTCATTGTTGGACACCAGAGACAGCGCTGCAAGACCTTAGAGGACTGAGAGGAGGGTGAACAGTTGAACTGAGTGAAAGATCATATAGGACATGAGTACTGCTGTCTGCAACTCCCTCCATGAGGTCGGTGTTACTCTGCTGAGTCGCCATTTTAGAGACACACTGACACAGAGAGAGAGATACCCAGTGGAATTTCCCACCAAGTCGCTGTACTGATTTTACCAGCACCAGAGACTAGTAAAGTGTGTGTCGTCTCGCTCGCTCGGTTGTCTGCAAAGTCTGAATACATATATCGGAGACAGTGAAATTACAGAGAATCCCTAAATGAGAGATATGTGCTGAAGTGAGAACAAGCCATTTACCCAGGATTGCTACTATATTTTTCAAAGACATTTTTTGTAGGATTTGCTGATGAAATCAGCCATATTCTGTTTAACAGTTCACCTATGTTAAAAAGAGCTCCAATGGGCCCCATCTAGAGACTGCATTTTTGGAACTTTTGTTCTGGTCAGATATCAGGAGACAAGGGGAGTGTTTGGCACTCATTATAGTTAAGTGCTGGTAACTATTTTATGCAGTAACGTTTATACTTGTTAATATATGTGTTTGGTATAGGACATCTTATGTCCATAAGCTAATATACATGATTATCCAATACGATTACTAAGATTCACTACGCTTAGAGTCATAGGTGATATTTACACCCTGTTTCTAGATGGAATAAATCCCCCAGGGAAATTTTATCTCTTAAAGCCAGTGTGTGTTTCATTGGATTCTGCTGTGACGTCAGTCCAGGTAAGAGCTGTGAAACCGACATCATATACCAATATATTGCTAACACCCACGGGTGTGTGCTACATTAGTGTATGTTATTGGGTCACTAGGGGGCAGCGCAGCTCTATTCTTGGGAAGATATGCTAATTGGCACTGAGCATGAGCACACCTCTGGATGTCAGATGAGGATGAAAGCGGAAGGTAGAAAGTGTGAACACTTGCAGGAACAGATCACTTATAGTCCTCATGTAACGCGGGGCGTTGTAAAATCACCGGCAGCATGAGCTGTATAAAGTGATGTTCACAACGCAAGTTTTGCAGCATTTTGGCATTAGCGTTTAGCCGCGTTTTTAGCGCGATTATTAGTGTTAGTGCGCTTTTACAGCTAAAAAAACGCCTCCTCCTTTTTCCAGCCAGAAAATGCTGATTCCAGTCTTTGTGTGTATGGACACCGAGGAGAACATGCTGGGGGGTTTACTGGCTGTAGAAAAAAAATACCAGAAGCCAAAAACAGCCGCTGTAAAAAACGCCCGGTGTGCATGAGGCCATAAGGTCATAGTTGTACAGTATTGTGACCCGTCTGCCTACAAACCATTTCACTTCCGCTGCACTTCCCTCCCCTTCCAGGCCAGGGAAATTTTTGCAGATTTCAGCACACACTGACAATTGCGCAGTCATGCAACACTGTACCTAGATGACATTGTTATCATTTATTGAGACAGATAGAGCTTTCTTTTGGGGGAATTTAATCCCCACTGTTTTTTTTTTATTTTTCTTATTTGTGCTAAACAAACAAAAAACAAACAAACAAAAAAGACTTTGAAAAAAATGTTTTTCTTTGTTTCTGTTATAAAATTTTGTTTTGAAAATAAGTAATTTTTGCTAAGGAGGCTCCATCACTGATGAGTGCACTGATCTAAGGAGGCTGCACTGATGGGCACTGATGAGGCTGCACTGATCTGCACTGATGGGGCACTTATAGGCTGCACTGATGGGCACTGATGGGGCTGCACTGATGATCAGTGCCCCCGATGTACTGACAGCCTTGCCGGTTATTGGCTGTCCTTTCTCTTACACAGACACAGCATGTGAGCAAAGGACTGCTGATAACCGACAAGTCTGTTTACTTATGATCAGCTGTGATTGGCCGTTTACCCTGATCCAAAGGACACAGCTATCACAGAGTGCACCTGATGCGTTCCCCAGGCTATAGCATGGTCAGTAAATGGTTAATGATGCGATCTGTGATCAGGACACAGCACATCACAGAGCGGAGTACAGTTTGTTTTCCATATTGGGGTCATTTTGTGGGTGTTTCCACTGTCCTGGTGCTCCAGGGCCTTCAAAAGTGTGATAAATAGTCAGGAAATTAGAAGTGTAATTTATGCCCCTAAAAAGCCTGAAGGTGCTCCTTGGATGTTGGGCCTCTCTATGTCTCACACATATGGTACCCCATACTTGGGAGGAGTAGCAAAATGTGTTTTAGGGTGTGTAATTCCAAGTATGCCTGTGCCTTGTGTGAAAAATAACTTCCAAAAACTCGCCATTCCTCTTACTAAATACCTCAGATTGGCT